ACCCCGCGACCCACCCGCGATCCAGCCCGCGACCCGCCCGCCACCCACCCGGCGACCCACCTGCATTGTTTCAACGAGTTTGTGGGCGCCTGCGGCGAACTCGTCGTATAATTTGTAAAATTGGGCGCCTGCGGCGAGCTTCTTCAGAACCTTGCAGACTGCCGACGTCCTCGCTCATTCACTTTCCCTCGGCGCGTGGACGAAGTGAGGTTCTGTGGTGTGGATTGCTGTTGGTTGTTGTTGTTGTTGTTGCTGCTTCTGCTGTTGCTGCTGCTGTTGTTGTTGTTGTTGTTGTTGTTGTTGTTGTTGTTGTTGTTGTTTGTTGTTGATGTGATGGTTGAACTCTCATTCCTGATAAATAATTATTGTTGATCCCCCCCGCCCGTTGCACATTGTTTTTTTTTCGATTGAAGTGCCCCTCCCGGGGCTCGCACTTGGTTTTTTATCAGGGAAAATCTTGAGGCTCAAATTGTATGTTTGGCCCCCGGTTTACAACATCAACAACGGCTCCCGCCTGATACTTCCTTACAATTTGTTGAAGAATCGCGCTCTCGCTTGAAACTTCCTGGCAGTCTGCCACCGAATCGCGGCTCCCGCTTGATACTTCCTGACAATTTATTCCCTACCTAGGCTCTGCCTAGAAGGGTTCTTACTCTGTTAGCTTAAAGGGGCCGGGCAGTGTAAATCGCCCCGGGCGGTTCCCCCAGTCCCCGCCCCGCGGTTCCCCCCAGTCCCCTGGGAGCTTTAGCTTTAGCTTTAGCTTAGCTTTAGCTTAGCTTTAGCTTAGCTGTAGCTTAGCTTTAGCTTAGCGTTTCGCTTAGCGTTTCGCTTAGCTTTTCGCTTAGCCTTTAGCTTAGCTTTAGCTTAGCTTTAGCTTAGCTTTAGCTTAGCTTGAGTTTAGCGTTTCGCTTAGCTTGAGCTTAGCTTTAGCTTAGCTTTAACTTAGCTTTAGCTTAGCTTTAGCTTAGCTTTAGCTTAGCTTTAGCTTAGCTTTAGCTTAGCTTTAGCTTAGCTTCAGCTTAGCTGTAGCTTAGCTTTAGCTTAGCTGTTGCTCAGCTTTAGCTTAGCTTTAGCTTAGCTTTAGCTTAGCTTTATCTTAGTTTTAGCTTAGCTTTAGCTTAGCTGTGTCTTAGCTTTAGTTTAGCTTTAGCTTAGCGTTACTGTTACTACTAATGCTGCTTTCCTAGGGGTTCCAACTCCTAGGTAGGGTCGCACTGGGATAATTGTACAATCGCGCTCTCGCTTGGGAGTTCCTTGCAACTTACCACCGAACCGCTTCGTTTGACATTTCCGAACAATTTCTGCAGATGCCGGTCCTCGGCACTCAGGAATCGCGCTCCCGCTACGTATTGCCTTGCGGCTCAAGCAGGACTCACGCTTCAACGACACGCCCGCTCGACCCGCCCGTCGGGGCCTGCCCGCCCGACCAGCCCGTTAATGACTGCAGTCGCCGCTCGCTGCCCTTCGCCCGCCCTCGATGCCCCTCGCTGCCCGTACTGGTTCCGCGGTCGCCTTCGCTCGCTGCCCTTCGTAGCCTCGTTGCTGCCCTCAGTGACCCCGTCGCTGCCCTTCGTGGCTCCGCATTATATGCCCTTCGTGGCCCCCGCTCGCACGCGCCCGTCGTGGCCCCATACGCATGCCCTTCGTAGCCCCGCTGTCGCCCTTCGTGGACCCCTCGCTGCCCTTCGTGGCCCCTGTCCTGTGCTGCCCTCTGTGGCCCCGCTGTCGCCTTTTGTGGCCCCGTCTACGAATGCACTTCGTGGCCCCCGCTCGCTCGCGCCCGTCGTGGCCCCATATGCATGCCCTTCGTGGCCCCGCTGTCGCCCTTTGTGGCCCCCTCGCTGCCCTTCGTGGTCCCGGTGCTGCCCTCAGCGGCCAGCCGTAGCCCTCTGTGGCCTCGGATTTCATGCCCTTCGTGGCCCGCGCTGGCTTTTCTCACGATTGACTTGGGAATCGCGCTATCGCTCGAGACTTCCTTGCGATTCATGCAGGACCCACGCTTCAGTAACCCGCCTGCTCGACCTCGTCGCCTGGGCCCGCCTTCCCGACCTGCCCGCTATGGGTCTGCCCACCCGATCTGCCAGTCTGGTTCTACCACTTGTTTTCTGCTCCTTGCCCCCCTCCTGCTAATTTCTCTCGTGCTCCATTCTTCTCCCTCCCCCTTCCACCCGTCCTCTCTCCCCTTGTTTTAGGGGCTGCTTTAAATACACGTGGCAGGTAAGGAAGATGTACCCCCAAGGGGGTACGATCGAAGACGACGAGGGTGGGCAACGAGGGTTTGGGATATACGTACCGATTGGCACGTTAGCAGATAGGAGCGAACAGTCTTAGCATGACTGTTGTTGTTGTTGTTGTTGTTGTTGTTGTTGTTGCTGTTGTTGTTGTTGTTGTTGTTGTTGTTGTTGCTGTTGTTCTCTGATTTGTCTCACGGTTTTCGGGGTGACACGTGTCACCCGTGTGTTGTTTCACACTGTATGGCCCCATGTTTGCGTCCAGAATTCGGGGGAAAGAATTCTTTTTTCCTCACACGTTTTTTGGGTGACACGTGCCACCCCGTGTTGTTTCACATTGTGTGGTCCCATTTTGGCGCCCAGAATAATTACGTGTGAAACACTTGGATTTTCTTACACGGTTTTCGGGGTGACACGTATCATCTGTGTGTTGTTTCACATTGTACGGTTCCACCCCACGAGTTGTACATCAGGAACAACTGAACGAAAATTAAAACCTGGAGGAACGTGAACATGGAGAGGATGAGGAAACACAAATAGCCACAAGAGAACATCGGGACAAAGTCGCTCGAAGATTCTAGGCCTGGTTCAAAACCTCGCGGCCCTTAACCATCTAGGCTTGGAGAAAGGACTCAGATAGTCCGCGTAGAGGAGAGCGAACACGAATGGAGAAGCGCCGACCCCTTGCACCCGGGGCGTCGCTGTCCGTGTCGCTGGCTTCGTTGGTATCGTATGCCGGAACCAGGTCCCACCGCCATCGCCCTGCTGCGAAAAGCTTCGTTATGTCGTGGCACCCGAGAAAGATTCACAAGGTCAAACAAACAAGGTCATTTTCAGCCGAAATGCCGTAGATCAGACGCCTTCCGCCGTAGCGTTCCCGAAGGACAGCGCCCCCCTCCCGGGTGTTGCCCACAGCACCGAGCTCTGTACCGACCGTCCGTCGCGTCCAGAATACCGTCCGTAGCATGGTTCCATGTTGGCGTCCAGAATACGAGTGAAGCAGTTGGTTCTCTTCACGCGGTTTTCGAGGTGACACGTGTCACCCGTGTGTTGCTTCACATCGTATGGCCCCATTTTGGCGTCCAGAATTCGAGTGAAACACCTGTTTTTCTTCACACGGTTTTCGTGGTGACACGTGGCACCCCGTGTGGTTTCACATCGTATGGCCCCTGTTTGCGTCCAGAACAACTACGTGTGAAGCAATTGGTTTTTCTCACACGGTTTTCGGGGTGGCACGTTTTACCCGTGTGTTGTTTCACATTATATGGTCCCATTTTGGCGTCCATAAGACTCGTGAAACAATGGCTTTTCTCACACGGCTATCGGGGTGACACGTGCCACCTTTGTGTTGTTTCACACTGTATGGTCTCATTGTGGCGTCCAGAATGCGAGTGGAACAATTGGTTTTCCTCACGTGGTTTTCGGGGTGACACGTGTCACCCCTGTGTGGTTACACATTGTATGGCCCCATGTTGGTCTCCAGAATACGAGTGGAACAGCTGGTTTTACCTCACTTGGGTTTCGGGCCCTGATCACGCTGGTCTGTCTCGAGACCGCCGCTGGCTGCCAGACTTGCGGTAGGTCCACCGCAGGCAGGGCTCATCTGTCAGACCAGCCTCCGTCGCCGTCGCGCCGTGCGGGGTGTGTGTGTGTGTGTGTGGAGAAAAAGGATGTGTATTCGTCGCGGCCCCGCTGGTCGCTGTCGCACCGTTGACCTCACCGTCATGTGCAGTTATCCTTTGACCACCTGTCTGGCCCACCCCCATCGCCATCGCACCGCGCGGAGAGCGTCGGAAACAAGTGAAGGGTCCCTCTGGCGCGGCCCTCGCCGGTCGCTGTCGCACCGTTCGCCCACCTGCGTGATTTGTGCCGTCCAGCTGTTTGGCCACCCCCCGTCGCCGTCGCACCAAAAATATTGTGCGCCACGCGTGCTTGAAGTGAGCCGTCCACGGTGCGCCTATGGCACATCGCACATCGCACAGCTTGTCCGATTGATTTCTTACGTGGTCCGTGCGGCGACAGATCGTTTTTGCGCAGCTGTCCGCGACGGGCCCTTTGCCGCCGCACTGGGGAGGTCAGGTCGGGTGGGATCTCCTCCTCCCTGCTGTCTGCTTTTGTCTTTGGGGTGTGCTGTGTCGCTGGCCGCATGGCGCCCTCCTCTCGCGGGCCGACCTCGCTCCTCCTTCCCCTCTCCCCTCCCGCACCCCTCCACTCCTAGTTCCTCTTCTCCCTTCTCCCCACCCGCTCCCTCGTGCCTCTCTCCCCCCTTCCCCTTCCCCTTCGTCCGCCCTGTCAGCCCCCCCCCCACTCCTCCCCCTCCCCCCCCCCGTTCCCAGACCCCCGACGTCGTGAATCTTGCATGGCTCGACCCCCAGAGGTCTGGACCCACTCCCCGGGACCGGTTCCTCGTCCTGAATTCTTCTTTGTTGACGGCCCCTTTGGCCGGCAAAGGGCCCCCCCCCAGAGGCCGAAGATAGCGAAAAGCCTCCCCGTCGTGATCTGTTGCGCAACTCGAAGGGGTCTGGCCCCCCCCCCCCCCCCGTCTGTTCCTCCCCACCCCACGCCTTATGATGTCCAACCTACTTTGGCCTTGCTCACCAGAAAGGATTTCGAGCACCAAGAAGGTACCCTAACTGGAGGGTTTCCACGTGCGGGGCCCTGGGAGGCGATACTCCTTCGACGCTGCTTGGACACTTTCCTGGGGGCTCGAAATTATTTCTGGGGGTCCTCAAGTACGATGGGAGCAACATCATTCACGCCTCCCGGCAGGCGCCGGCGGGCGCCGTGCCCGCGCCGCGCAGCGCGCCTCCGCGGGCGCCGCCGTCTGCCGAGCTCCCCGCGCGCCCCGCGTGGCCCTGGCTGCCGCCCAAGCCGGCGTCCGGGCGACCCGGCCACCGTGCGCGAAGGGTGCCCGCCCTCCTCCTCCTCCTCCTCCTCCTCCTCCTCTCTTCCTCCTCCCTTCCTCCTCCACCTCCTCCTCCTCCGTCCTCCTCCACCTTTTCCTCTTCCCTCCTCTCTCCTCTTCTCCACCTCCCTCCCTCCTCCTCCTCCTCCTCCTCCTACTCCTCCTCCTCGTCCTCCCTCCTCCTCCTCTCCTCCTCCTCCTCCTTTCTCCTCCTCCTCGTCCTCCTCCACCTTCTCCTCCTCCTCCTCCCTCCTCCTCCTCTTCCACCGTCTCCTCCTCCTGCTCCTCTTCCTTCTCCTCCTCCTCCTCCTCCTCCTCCTCCTCGTCCTCGTCGTCCTCTTCATCGTCGTCCTCCTCCGTCGTCTTCTCCCTGTCCTGCTCCTGCCAAGCGGCCCAGCGTCTCCTCTCGACGACCCTCCCTGCGTGACGAGAGGGCCTCCGTTTTCCTTCCTTCCGCCTTCCTTTTTCGTTCCTTCCTCCTTCTCCCCCTCTTCCTCCTCGTCCCCTTCGTCGACGAAGCCCGCTGAACTTCGGCGGACCTTTTCCTCCCAACTGAAGGCTACTGGCGGGTGGAGCGACGGGCACGACGCAACCGACGTCGGCCAGCGACTGGACCAGCGAGAGCTGGGCTGGGCTTAGCATCGACTCTGGCGGCGGACCTGCGCCACACACGTGGCAAGGCGATCGGGGACTCCTCCCTCTCCTCTCTCCTCGCCCTTTCTCCCGCTTCCTCCTCTCTCCTTCTCCTCCTCTCTTCTCCTCTTCCCTCCGTCTCTTTCTTCTGTCATAGCCGTCGCATCGACCCACGCAGAGCTCGCCGCCGCCTCCTCCCTCCCCCCCCATCCCTCTGCCCTCCCTTCTCCCTCCACCCCCTCCTCCTTCTCCCTCCTCTTCCTCCTCCCTCCTCCTCGTTCTCCTCTTCCTCCTCCCTCCTCCTCCTTCTCTTCCTCCTCCTCCTCCTCCTCCTCCTCCTCCTCCTCCTCCTCCTATCCTCGTCTTTCTACCACCCGCCAGTCAAATATCCACTACCAGCAACTGTCCGTGTTCACCGCTTCCTTTCATCCCGCGCGTCTTGAAGCAATGCTTGCGGTTTGTGGTGTCTTCTTTTTGTGGCCCAGGGTCCTTGACTGGACGTGTCCGACTCGTAAATCGCGTTGGGTTCGAGAGCTGGCATAGTGTGGTTCTTCAACTTGGGGCTCCTGTCGTCCACAGTAGGCCTCAGGAGACCTCATGAGGCCCAACACGTGCTCCAAACCTCCCGAATTCTCGATCTTCGATTTCCAAGGATCAGGGGAAGGTCCAGGAGAGGAGGAGGATGAGGAGAAGGACGAGGACGACGACGAGGGGGAGGTGTTTGAATGAACGCCTCCCACGCTTGGAGGAAAAGTTCCCTGGCGTTGTGTTTCCGTTGTGCCAGCAGGCAGCGTGCCACCACTGTTTGGATCAAGCGTTGTATGTCGTCATTTGACGGCTCCTTTCAACTACGGTTCTTTGGACTGCCACCGTTCCAGTACACGCAGCTTCCAGAGTTCGCATGGTAGCGGAGCGAGGTGCAATGGCCAGTGTCAGGGGCGTCAACGTCGCCGTCGACTGGAAGGGGTGGTTCCAGGCAGATCTCGAGCAGCATTTTGAGCTTCGTCGAACTGCCTGCAGCGACGCCGACTACGGCCACATGCAATCAACTCTGCAGGCGGACCACGACGGCACCCACCATTTCCTGACCACGAGGAGGGGCGAAGGCGTTGACTCGATTGCCCTAGACAAGGGATGCTTTCTGTTTCAAACAATGGTTAAAACGACACGCCTTAGCGCTCAGTACCGCTAGCATGCACATGTGCCACGACAGCGAACCCAAAAGGGTGAGAGAGCGTGTTGCGGTCTTGGAGGAGCATTTGGAATTAAAGTCAGCACAACACGGTGGAGGCCATAGACAAGATGCCTGCGGCTGTCGGTAGCAGCAGCGTCAAAGGATCCGGGCAGTCGAAGAAACCAGTCAGATGTGAGAAAGCCATCCAACAGGTCAGCACCATTCATGGATACCGATCAACCTTGACTAAGTGGAGCGAATACTTGTTCAATGTTTTCGCAGACGGCAGTGTTGGGAGCCAGCATGCCCTGAAAAACCTCACAGCCAAGTCTGATACCCTGTGCGGGGCATTACAATGAATAGAGCATGAGGCCTCTCAAGGCTTCTCAACGGATGGCCAATGTATGACCAACATGTTTTTGCGGCTGGCCGTAATCACGAAGAGGACGAATCAACATGAGACTTGATATTTATCCGACCGCAGCTTGGACATGTTATAGGCACCCTTGTGGTGCACCAGGAACGGCAAGCCGGAGGGCATCGAGCTCAGATAGAGCAATGGAATGATTTGGCCGAGAGCCTTCAACAAGAAGGGTCAGCCTACTCGTTGCCAGCCCTTTTGAGAATTACTCCCTGGGTAGCATAATGACTTTTATACGCTGGCGACCGGTTTGATGATTTGGGGAACGATCGTTTCAAATTCTTGGCGTGAAACGCGAACGCGTTCAAGAAGCTGCATGGTAAATGTGAGAACTCGGCCAATCATAACACGGGGAGGCTGACGCAACAGACGACCATGCGATGGAAGCTTTGAGAAGTTGAAAATCAAGGATATGGAGGGCATGGGGGGGGGGCGGGGGGAGGGGAGCAAGTGTTCTTACGATTGTTCAACCACTCGGTTCCGCCCGTCGCCGTCCTCGCTCTTCCTCGTGGCGGCCCTGCACTTGCAGTCGCCTTGTGGCGGCCTTGCAATCGATTCCCTTGTGGCGGCCTTCCAAGAGGATTCTCCATGCGGCGGCCTTACAACAGGATTTTCTTTTGTGGCGGCCTTACAAAGGATTACCTTATGTGGCGGCCGTGCAACGGGATTTTCTTTCGTGAGGGCCTTCCAGATGGATTCATGCTGTGGTGGCCTTGCACCAGGATTTATTAGTGGCGGCCTTATACAGATCATCTCTTGCGTTGGAGCCCGATTTTTGCAGTTTTTTTTTGTTTGTTTTTTTCTTTTAAAAAAAGAAAGCAGAAACACAGCATGTTCCCTTTTGTAGTGGGTCCAGGACACGGCCAAGAAACAAACACAACCATCCAGGCGAAGGGCCACATTGTATGCAGTTGTGCGTGCAGCGTTGCGGGTGCCGCGCTCCTTAGGCAGCTTCGTATTGGGGCCACGCAGCGCGTGAGGTGGTCTGCCGCACTGGGTGGGGGAGGCGTGCGCCCGGGGCCCGCCAGGGTCTTCGGTGGAGCTCCCATGGGGCCACGAGGCGCTATACATCCCCAGGCCGAAAGTTTTTTCTTCTTGGCGCTGAACCTCACGGTCCCACGTGGTGCACGGGCCCTCTGGGAAAGCATAGCGGCGAACCCAATGAGGATCGCACGGGTCCGATTTCCAATCTTACCGTAATCGTGAAATCGCGGCGGATCCCATTTCCGTGCGCGCGGATCCCATTCCTGATTTTCGGCATCCGCGTCGGACCCAATCTTTTACGGCGGATCCCATTTCTGGTCCTTTTCGACCTTAAGAGGAACATCTTTCGTCCTGCGTGCTGGGTCGGGGACGCATGCGAGCTGTGCCATTGGTCGAAGAAGAAAAAACGCCATGAACAGAAGCTTTTTGGCGCTCCACGCGGAGTGCCACAAGTTTATGTTTGTGTCGTTTTTGTTGTTTTTGTTTTTGTTTTTGTTTCTTCTTCTTCTTCTTCTTCTTCTTTTTCTTCTTCCTCTTCCTCCAATTGGGGCCCTCGGTGGAGCTCCCTATGGGGCCACGAGGCGCTGTACTCGGCTGGGGGGCGGCACGCGGCCGCGGCCCCTGAGGCGTTCGGTGGAGCTCTCCCTGCAGGGCCCCGGGCCCTCTGCAGCACGTCGGTCTCGAAGCTGTGGCAGGACTGCTCGGTGCACCGTACTCGTTGTCGCCCTGAACTGTGGACGACGTTCAATTGAGAGGAAGCGTGTCGCCAAACAATTTCCAGATGTCCAAACATGTTTAGGCTCTGTCTTGAGATGTAAAACACATGCTTTCACATGTTGAGAACTTTTCCAAAGCAAGTCAAACAAATCTTGAATTCAATGACAGGATTGTTAAAGTCTCCATTGTCATGGGATCCACAAGTCTTGAACTCTCTGAGGCAAACTTAATCCCTGACGATCCGGTGCTGGCGCACCTTCCTTGATGATCTGGCATTTCTGCGGTGTCGACCCTTTGTCTGTCACCGTGAGCCCCCGTCGGTCACAGCCCCTGTCACGGGCTCGGACACTTGAAATGTTATGAATTATGAAAGTGACCGCCGAGCCAAAAGATGCAGACAACCACTTCCTGGCATCATAGTATCCCACCGTCGTATTGCACACAATAACGGGCGGTACATTATACGTGTATTCGGCAAGAGGTTGTGACGCCCGAATTTGCACCTCGCCCCAATCTGAAGCCAACAGCTTCGGTGTAGGTTGTGTCTTCTGCATCTGAGGCTTCTTGGTCGGCGACGCCGTGGATGCAGCATTGTTAAGAGTCAGCAGGTCCAAGAAACGATTCAAGTTTCTTATGCACCTGGTACTCCGCGGGTTCGACTTCCCCTCGTCAGTTTTGGTAGGCAGTTGTTGGATCTTCTGCAGAGTACTCGGTTCCGTCTTACGAGGAGCTTTGATAGAAGTATGAGGCGGCATACCCCCAGCCAGGCAGCTGCATACTCGACCCACCCGAGCCCGCCAGTTATCAAGCAGCCGTCGCTAAGAGGGATACTCGTGCAGCCAGGTCCTCGGCGCGTCGTCCCTGTCCGCGTCGAGGTCTGACACCATCTCTCCCCCCGCCGAGCCGTTTCCCTCCGCCCAGGAGCGCATCAATTCGAGCATCTTCATCTTGAAGTAGTTTTATGATGTTCCAGCCTACTTTGCCTTGAGCACTAACGAACTTCGAGCCTCAAGGAAGTGCCGACACTGGAGGGTTTCCACGTGTCGGGCCCCGGGAGGCGATAGTCGTTCGACACTTCGCTAACGTGTCGGGCAGACACTGTCTCGATACTTTTCGGGGTGTTCGAAATTACTTCTGGGATGTAGTCCTTAAGTATGATGAGAACAACATGAAAGTAGTTCTGAAGACTCGCTGGTCCATGGAGCCAAAGTCGACGGCCTCACCGAGAGTGAACACGACAACCTCGTACTCGCCGATCTGGTGCATCTGGTCGATGCTGATGTCGCTGTGTTCTGCTTCAGTACAGGGAGTCGTCCCGCCAATACAGCGGTGGAGGTGCGTAGCATTCTTGGCCACGTTCAGGAAAGCACCGAAACTTCAACTGACTGCGCATTGAATTCGCCTTGCTGTGCCATCGGAAGCAGCTGCACTCAATACGTGTGGATGGTCCGATGCTTCCCACACGCCGACGCGACGGCGCTGGGCGCTTCAATGCTCTGGATGAGCCCGGATGGGTACGGAGAGCCTTGAGCCGCTTGTGTTTGGGAGTAGGAGGAGGAGGAGGAGGAGGAGGAGGAGGAGGAGGAGGAGGCGGAGGAGGAGGAGGGAGGAGGAGGAGGAAAGGAGGAGGAGAGGAGGAGGAGGAGGAGGAGGAGGAGGAGGAGGAGGAGGAGGAGGAGGAGGAGGAGGAGGAGGAGGAGGAGGAGGAGAGGAGGAGGAGGAGGAGGAGGAGGAAGAGGGGGGGGGTCGGCGGAAGCGGAATTGAGGAGAGAGAGAGGCAATGGACTGGCGGGCGCAGCGAGGGTCTCGCAGGTAGCCCGGACGACGAGTTCACCCGCGTGTTGGCGGCGGCGTCGCTCGCCAGGCTTGTCTGCTCTGTTGTGCCGTCTTCCGGGTGTCCAGTGGGCGGGGCACAGCGGTCTCCCTTCTCATTCCATTCACCTCTTCTTGTCCCTCCTCCTCCTTGCCCTGCCCGCACTCCCCCCTGTTCCTTTTGCGTGCACCTCGCTTGCGGGATTCTCTGATACAGCGTCATCAAGCGACACATGCGAAGAGACCATTGACGGCAAAGGTACCAGCAACACAGTCAACCCGCATGGTAAGGATGGGCAACTTTCCCAAGGAGACCTTTGCATCCTTGCCTCCTCGGTCCATCCTTGGCCACTGTCGTTGGCCGCGCCCCGCTCGAAAAGCTTCGAAATGGGCGTCCAAGGCCCTTGTATCCTCATCGCGCATCCTTATGATACAGGCCGCCTGTACCAATACTTGCAGCAACAGTGGCAGTCACGATGACTAGTGTGGTGGCAGTACCGATGACGATGCCAGTGGCAACAACGATAGCGATGATGGCGGTGAACTTTGCAGTTGCGATGGTCGGTTTTCTGTTCAGAGTGTGGAGTGTGATGCTGAGTTGCTTGGTGATGCTGGCATTCGCAATTGATGGCACGAGTTGCGTTGATAATTCCAGCGGCTCCAGCATCGGACGTAGTGGCGGCAGTGTTGCGGTCAGGAACATCGGGATAGTGTGTCACGCCGCCCGTTCTGGCCCACCACGTTCGGATGCAACTCCTGGGAGGTCAAATTCTGATTTTGCCATGGTCAGAAATCCGCCTTAATCCGGCTTACCGCTTGATCTGGCTTGATCCCTTACAATCCAGCCTAATCCCGCTGAATCCGCGGCCTAATCTGGCGTAACAGCCCCCCGATGGGGGCCTCATCCTCCTTAGTCCTTCCGGCGAAGACCTCCCGGCAGTTGCCTCCTGGACCGCACTTTGGTGCGCCGCGCTGTCCATTTCCCCGTTCCCGAGCGTCAGCGTCCCGAGCTTCTCCGAGCCTGCCGTCTCCAGCGGAGCGGGGTGACTCGCCCTCCCAGCCCTGCGAGCCGCGCCGGGGCCGCCGCGCGGCACGCGGAGCGAGCAGGTTCCGGTGAGAAGTTGCCGCAGGCGTGGTTGCGGCAGTCTCGGGTGGAGATCGCGATGGTAGCCAGTCGTGTCGGAGTTGTGCACGAACCGCATCCCCGCGATCATAAAGCATCCCCCTTGAACTTGTATCTGATCGGCGGGTGAAGCGGCGAGGCCGAGCTTTACTACCACCAGAGAGAGAGAGTACAAATCGTACATGGAATTATTTCATCATTCGTATCCTTTGCTGTCATCATCGTACACCGTGCATGCCTACATGCGACTTGTTGGGATAATCGTTTATTATCCTCCCGAGTCCCCGAACTTTATTATCCCCATGATGTGATTATCACCGGCGCAGGATTAATATGACAATTTCCGGGTTAGCAGAAACAGAAGTAGCAGGGAATCGATTTGTAGTATTCGCAGAACTTGTGGTTGTACGCACCCTCCTCTGGTTCAAGCGGCATGCGCCGTTCCGCCGACCCCCAGAAGAGGTAAGGAGTCAACGGGATCTCTTGGGAAGCATCTAGGG